AATATTTTTTATTAAATAAAAACTAAAATAAAAATGTTGCTAACAAATATGGATTTAATCAAATACAATAAATTAAATTTCATTCAATTATTAATTTTGTGATGATAAAAATACAATATATAATTATATTAATTAATTATAATGTAAATGTTAAAATTGTTTTTTATTTTTATTCTTATATGTTATTTTTAAAAACTATATATTTTATTAAAGATATTTTATTTATATTATTATTTTGATAATTTAAAAAAATGAGAGCATAAAAATAATATATTAAATTAAATTAAATTAAATTAAATTGAATATGCTTTTGAACCCCAATAGTATGTTATTGTCGAATTCCAAATAAACATTGTGTGTAATTTCTTATGGGTTATATAAGGATTTCATGGTAGTTAAAATTATGAATTTTTAGATGGTTACTTGTGGTTCTTTTAGCAAATAATAATAATAATAATAATAAAAGCTTTTGAAATATTTATTTATTTTATATGTAATATACTTGTTATATAAAAATATAGAATCCATGAAAATTATATTTATTTTTAATTTTATTTTTTTATAACTTTTAAAAGAAGAAGATTCAAAGTCAATTCTTTAATAAAGATATAAATATATTTATTATTAAATAAAATATTTAAATACTAATTTCATATTTTATCTCATGTTTTATTTTACTAAAATAAAATTTAAAAAAATTAATTAATTATATCAATTAAAATATATAAAACACATTTATTTTTAACGTTCTTTGGAGCCCAAGCAAAAGGCAACCCACCAATCTCTTTGACCATATAAAAATAATAATATGTTTTGACGTTTGAAAATAAAATACACTCAGTGCATGTATATATAACAATTTCTCTTGTATGGGTTATTTTATAATTTATAATTTATTAAATTATTTTTTTATTATATTACTTTGATGATTATTTACATTAGTATTTTTTATGAGATTTTAGTTTCTATTTAGAACTTTACAAAATTATTGTCTTCAAAATATCTTTCTTTGGTTATCAAATACAACAAAAGCTCAAAAAACATGAGACTGATAAATGATGAAAGTCAACAAACGGCCAAGGTTCCTCCAAATTTGGATTTTTTTTTTGTATGGTGGTATTTCCAGCAAAAAAAAAAAAAATCTAAGCCCATGGCGTCAACTACGTCATAGCCTCCCACAAGCCAACCCATAACCAACTCGTGTGCTTGGTAACCTCAAACGGCATGCAGTTTCGATAAAAAGTTTGGTTCACCTCATCTTAAATTTGAAAGTATAATTTTTGAGAAAGTACTATATTTGAGAATTCTTTTTATTTTTAGAGTATTTTATATTCAGATTTATTTATTTGGTTTGAAAGAATCATTTTGTATTAATTTTTGTATAATTTTTTTGGTATATATGATAATAATTTTTTTATTTTATTAATAATAAATACTTAAATAACAAATGATATCTTTAGTAATAAAAAATAAATATTTTAATTAATTATTATTTTTATTTATAAAATATCATTAATTGAAGTGTTTGTAAACATTAGCATCTTAATTGATAAAAAAATTATTAAAAAAAAGATCAATTAAGGTGTTTGATATTTTATATGCCTTAATTGGTTATTTAATTTTTCTATAAAAGGAGAAACGTCTTAAATCATCCTTACTTTTTTTAAAAAGATTAAAAGGATCATTTAAGTGGATTTTGATTTGAGGCATTTTTCTACATAATCCGTTTAAATGATTGTTTAATTTTTTTTATAAAAAAATTAATTAAAGTATTTTTGTATAAAAACGTTTTAAATAATTTGTTAAAAGGATAACTTAAATGATCTTTTAATTTTTTTATAAAAAAATTAGTTAAGACATTTTTGAATAAAAAAACCTTTAATGAGTCATTAAAAAGATTATTTAAAATATTTTTGTACTAAAACACCTTAAATAATCTATTAAAAAGATAATTTAAGTACCTTAAATGATTTTTTAATTTTTCTTTTATAAAATGATCATTTATAAAAGCGCCTTTAACAATCATTTAATTTTTTTTATAACAAGATCATTTATAACGTTCTATACAGAAACACGTTAAATAATCTTTTTGTAAATAAATGATCCTTTTTATTTTTTTATAATGCCTTAATTGTAATATAAAAAAATTTTAAAATGACAAAAACCTACAACTGAGTTTCAGATACTTTTCAAAAAGATAACGACTATGTCATAATTTTTTATCTATATTAAATTTAAAAATAAGGTAACTTTTCTTCTCAAAATCTTAAAATACTATAAGAAAGAGTGTGTTTATGATTCCAGAATTTTAGATATTGTTGAAAATCTGACATTTTTTTTATGATCAAATTACCTTAAATCAAACGTAAGAATCAAATACTTACCATCAAAATTTTAAGAAAAAATTTATAAATTTTTCAAACCAAAGGCACTCTAAGTAATTTTGTTTAACTTAGATTATGTGGGACCCATGTTACTTCTAAGAAGTGATAAGATTTTTTTTTCTTTGCATTTTTTGTCCCAAATAAAATGAATAAATTATATTTATGTCCTTCTAGTATTATTTTCTTTTTAAATAACAACTTATGATATTTTCAACACTTTTAAATATTTTAAGATTTCAATTTGTTATTATCTATATTCTATACTAATAAATGTTCTTAAATAGAAGTTTATATCACGAGTTAAAAAGAACTTCCTAATTGGGTAAATTATTTAAAAATTAAATAAAAATAAAAATATACAATACATATACATATTAAATATTAAATATATGAGAAATGTTAATTGGTGTTTATTGATTCTATTTAAGTTGATATTCATTTATTTCTTTTACATATTTATGAGTATATCGTTTAAATCGATTCTATTGATTTGGTTTTTATGAGGTTTCATGCTACATGGTATAAAAGTTAAAATTAAAACCAAATAAATTTTTTTTTTTGGAAAAGACCAAATAATTTTAAATACATACTAACTAATACATTTTATGATAAAAATCAATAAAAAAACCAAACAAAATCAATAAAAAAAGTTGATGGATTATAATTTGAGATCTAAAGATTCTAAAACGGCAAGACATCTTTCTTGCCACTAAGACAATTTTCATCGACATTTTTTTATTGGTAAAGCAAATGACATGGTTAAATTTGGTTAGACTCATAATTTTCTTTTCAAGTTTTGGAATTAACCTGATAATAGCCCAAGCAAGTAAATCAATTTTAATGTGCTTTGACCCATATGTTATTAATAGGATTTGAGCCTTAACAAATAACATAATTGTGCTTATTCTTAAAACATTTATTATTTAAATTAGGAATGATTTGTTCTTAAAACGTTTTTTACTAAAATTAAGAATGAATGAGGTATTTTATAATTAGATATCCTTAGTCACTCTCAATTGAGTAGGATTAGCCGATTAGGATAACTTATAATTGTGTTTAGTTAAAAAAAATTATTGCCCATCAGCTTTGAGTAGTGGCCTTTAAATAATAATATTTTAATATTGAATTCTAGTTAGATATATTTTGATGAATTAATTTGATTCATGTAATTCTTGTTAACATTCATTATTTATTTCCCTAAGAAATAAATAATTTCCCGGAGAAATAAGGAAGACGGGTCTTGTTTCACATCACTATAAGATGTAGACGGGTCTTGCTCTAAATATTGTATCAAATTTTTTTTATTCACCTTCAAAATTTTTTTTCTAAAAATACTTACATATCAAATATCAATTTTAATTATTGATAAATAATAAAAATATCTTTAATAACTTATACACCTAAAACCCACCTCATATTTCTCGAAAATAAATTTTCGAGAGTTATATTATCTTCTTGAAAATTTATTTTCGAGAAAACTATATAATTCTAAAAAAAAAAATTACCGAGATCAAAACACATTTTTTGAAAAATTTATTTTCAAGAATTATATTACTTTTTTAAATTAAAATTTTCAGAGTCATCATTTATTTTCGAATTGGAATCTGTTTTTTAAAATATATAAATTTTTAAATATATATTTAATTATAAATTTTTTATAACAGCATAAATATTTTTCAAAATTTTTTGACTATTTATTTCTAATAAGATCGATTTCAGACAATGAAAAATGAAAAATAAAAAGTGAGTGAAGAGATTATTTAATAGAAATATAAAAATAAGTTTTTAATTTAAAATGTATATAAAAGTGGAATGTATATAACCTTAAATGGGGAGTAAATAGAATTCTCCTTGAGCTATCTTCACAAAGCCAAATAAAAGTCAGATACGAGCATTCGACGACCCTCAGCACCTGGTTTTGAGGCTTGCAATGGCTTCTTAATTTTTTATTGATTTCAATTGCTTCAACCTTTTCATTATCCTTTGACGACACTCTTGTTTTGTAGCATACTATGTCAGGAGTACTGTACTTTGAATGGGGACGCACCAGATAAATAGATGCAGAGGCTTCTGGTTTTGTAGCATGTACGTTGGCTTGAGGAATAAGGTTGAGGACTCGACTTGTTGATCCTTGGCAACATCCAAATCCAAATCAACCTCCCCGGTTGCGGGTTTTTTGACAGGCTTATTTCCAAATTATGATATTCCTCTATGTTTCTCAGGTCAGAAAACTTTGTGCTCTTGTTAAATATGGTTCAACTCCATTTTCAACCAAATCCTCACTGAGTTTTTTATTAGAACCTGTTTCCTCATCAGATTTTGATAAGAATGTAATAACCTTATCACAGTAAAATGATCCTTTGTATATTTATATTATATAAATGTTAATAATTTATATATTTATATTATGTTTTACATAAAAATTACCCATCACAATTAGTGTCGATATTAAAAATATATATATTTATTTTTATTAAACTCATATATATAATTTTTATTAAAATTTTAACATGTTTCATTTGCCTTTTTTTTTTATTCTTTTTTTATCATTTTTGTATTTTGTGACATTAATTTTAAATTACCAAATCTGCCAAGGCCACCCTTCTTGAACTGTTCTCTACGATCAGCCATCAGGCTGCTCCAAATCAATTGGAAGATGATCAATTCAGATGTTCAAAATTGTGGGCAGATGTTTGCGTTGGGTAATCTTCCATCAGGGAGGGTTCTACCCAACTCTTCAAGAGGGTTAAAACTCCACTTTTCTTGCGTAAAATCTCGAAAAGAAGAGGCAACTTGCGGTGTTTATCGATGGCAGGTTGGCCTTTTTCTATTGACTTGGGCATCATCTTCCACAACAATGCTCAGCCATTTCTTTTTTCAACAAACAAAGCTATTTCTCCACTCTTTATTCTTCCTCTCAATTCCATGAAAAAATGGCATTGATTCCTCTCAATTCCAACAGCTTTTAGTTATCGTTTCATGAATCTTCTGGACAGAGTTATCCTTGCTCCCTTTTACATATAGCAATTGATGCCTCTACTTGATGTCGTAGACACACCGTTGAACAAGAAATTGACTTCTAAAACATCTCATGAAACATACCAAGATTACTCCTTGAAAGAGCATGTAATACCAACAAATGATAACCAAAATTGCTATTATTTGCTAAAAACAGGCAAAAAAACAAATGGCACATTTTATTCATTTTGTTAGGCCAAACTTCAAGTAGTGAATCTAACATTCGTAAGCAGGTAGGGGAGGTGGCGGCTATTCTACAATAACTCACCGCTCATACAATACCCCGTGTGATAAACTTACATACGTAGAATATAATAATAGGGAAGAGAGGCAGAATTTACAAGGAATACTTGTGCTCCACTAAGATTCGGGTTGCTCGGATTTTAAAGGTGCACCAGATGAAGATGCGCAGCTCCCGTTCTGAAGGTAAAGGCTATTTGCAACCATAGAATCACTAACTAAGCCAACTTCAACATCATCAAAGTTGAGTGCCCCTCTGATCTTCCGGGTACTGAAAGAAACAAAGCAAGTGGCAACATCATTAGTTTACTGCATCACAAGAATTTCTATATTTGAAAAGAATTGTTACCCTGAGAGAGAAGAGAAGAACACCTGTTCAAGTGATTGTTGATAGCAGTTAGGTCTTTTGAAGGGCTCTGAAAGGCACGAGTACTCTCTCCAACACAAGCATAATAGCTTCTTGAGCTATGCGAGATTAGAGCATCCATCTATAGATAAAAACAAGATCTAATTAAAAAAGGGCACACACTTACTTAACTCTGTAACCATAGATTCAAATAAGAAACAAAACCCATGATTCAAACTTTTTCTACAAGATTCATTAAACTTAAATATCAGAAATTAAAGGTCTTCTTTTTTCTTTTTGTACCTTTTAAGAGTGCTGCATTTTAAACAAAGTAAAGAAATAGTAGAGGCACTAGTTCTTGCAATCAAATACACTTTTCCTTTTTTGTTCCAGGAGGCTGTTCAAATCTTAAATGTACGAGTCTGGTTTTCTAGTAAATGGAAAATTGATCAATCAAGTCAACTAAATGCAGAAAAATAAAAGATTAAGTACCTTGGATGTTCGCAATGGAGACACGTATACATTGTGTGTTGCAGATACTTTCTTAGGGGACATATCAGGGAGACTCGGAAAAGGAGCAACTTTAGGTGATCCAGGGCACAGACCTAATTAGTCAATAAAGATAGTAGAAGCAAATTAGAATGGCTTGCAGAAGCAGCAAGGAAAGAAAATAACATCATAATCCCCTTTATAATAATGGAAAAAAAACTTGAAAGGATTACCATCATTACTATTGTTAGCTTCAGGAACCCTGCTCGTTCTTGTAGTTGTTCCTGCAGGACCAAGTTCTACCAGCAAAGGCTTTACAGCAGTAACAAATATTTCATTGTAAAATGCAATAATATCAACATGATCCTGCCCTGTTCTCTGTTTTCAGATCATTAAAATGGTTTAAATTCCCTCGAAAAGCAGGCAGCATAGAAAGTAGAGATACGACATCATACCTCATTCCGTCGAGCTGATGACCTGTCAACAAATACACTATTGAATACTAGTGGTTTACATTGTGGTTGCTTCCTATAGTTGTAAATAATTTCCTTAAAAGGCAGGCGCAACTGAGAAATCTGCAGGCCATTCATTCAGAAAGTAAGAGGAAACAGTGCAGATAAATTTAACAGCAGCTGAAGGTATCATAAGAAGAGCAGACCTTTGCAACTACATAGAAACAACAAAGGATGATCTGGTCAATATGACGGTTAAAAAACAAAGAAGTCCGCCGGCTAAGTATCTGTTGAAAAAGAGAATATACACTCTCCCTAATCTGTTGAGACAGTTGTAGCCTCTCAACCATTCCATTAATCCTGACAGCAGCCAGCTTATTAATCTGGCAGTGGAGAGCAAAGAACATGTTAGACATGGAGCAGACCAATAATCACTGAAGCTAAATCAAATTAAAAAGTCAGTGCGTGTGTGCAATTTGCCACCACAAAATATATCAAGGGATATTTACATTTTACAACAGTACTAATAGGTTAAATTTTTGTAAAAGTATAAACATAGGTGTACCATAGTTATGTAAGAATTTAAGAAAATAAATGAAAGTCTAATTTATCTCATATTTTGATACCTTGCTAAAAAATATATTTATTCCTGTTTCCGCACATGTTTCTCCTCCACCACCTGGGTTAGGGCGTGTTGGACTACAAAACAATAACCCCAAGTTAAAATGCAGTAAGCCAGTGCCAAGTTTTCTACTTCCCCCAGAAGTTACACCATACAATACCTGGCAAACGCAGATTGCAAAGGAGCCTTCTTAAGGTTGCTGAATGCTAATAGACGATCTTTCACTGGTGATGTAAAAGAGTTCCGTTCAACCAAAACACTCCTGTAGTCTGTGCATAGTCTCTTGGGAGATCTGACATCACCATTTTGACCTGAAAAAGTAACATTGCTTTGTAAATTAAGTTTAGGATAGAATCAAATTTAACACTTTGCGAAAGAATAACTGTAATCAAACTCTATAACACAAGCTACTACAGTAAAGATGAAAATCAACATACTGGTCACAGTTTTCCATATCTGAAAATGTAACAACTACAGTAAAGAAGAAAATAGACATCCTGGTCACAAAGTTTTCCATATCTGAAAATATAACAAGTGGTACAAGTAAGCTACCAATGTTGCATACCTAATGTGGAGCTACCAACATTAGCCGATGATTTTTCATGCTTCTGCAAAGAAGGCACCAGAGGCATACCTCCAGAAAAGTTGATATGCATCGCAATTGCATCCAAAGATGGCATTGGTTCTGCCAATAAGCCAAGACGATTTATTTCAGCAGATAAGGCAGGTCTTGCAACTATCAAAGAATTGTACATTGAGGAGCCTTTATCCCACACCATGCTCTCCAAAAGCCTCTCTTCCAGAGAATTTAGATGCCGCCTCAATTCTCTTGGTAGAGACTCCTCATGTCTAATGAAACTCTCTATCACCTTGCTTAGATCAAAGGCCGTAATACCAGTTCTGTCCAGAACTGTAGGAAACAACATTGTGGTAGTCTTATGTGTCGCTAGCACTAGTTCAGCAGAACAAGCAAGCATACATCTGTGAAATCTCTCATTAGTTAATAAAGAGGTCAAATTAGGTGCATGTAATATTTGGGCCTCCGCAATACACATTGCTTCCAAAACCCTATAGTATAGCTTAAGTGCTTCTAGTCTTCGTTGTTCCATCCATATATTATCCATCAGGTTTGAACTTTGAAGGCTTCCAGTACATTCATGACTACTTGGAAATATTGCCTCCAATATTATATGTGCCCTTCGTATCACATCGTTGGTAACATCTTTATCACAGGATGATAAAAAGCGCTGCAACTCGGCTGAGGGTTTTGGTGAAAGTGGACAAATATCAGTACGAAGCCACTTCGCAGTTGTCATTGCAATGCTGACGGGTGTAGCTGCCATCTTTGCATTGGGAGGCCCAAGAACACCATTTGCATGAGAAGCAGGAGAACAATGAGGAGACAGTGGGCTTGAGATTGTCTTTGATGGTGAAGCTATTGAATCAAATTTCCTCTACTCAAAACAGAATAAAAAATTCCAAGAAATAAGTGACTGCTACATAAAGCATAAAAACCAACAAAGCAGAATATGCTTTCTCAAATGTGAAATGCACCTTGATGCCAGTAACATTCACAGCACCCTCAGACAAGCTCCCTAAACCAAGTAAACTATCTTCCTCATTTATAAACACCCTCTCGTCCAGATCACCTTTATTATGAATTGCATCATCATAATCTTTTGCTAAAATATTCAAACTAGATGAAAGAGATTGTTCCTCCATTAAACCTTCAAAATAGATCAAGCCATCTGCATCAAAGATCAGATAATTAGAAGCAGAAGCAAATAAAAGTATGCTGGTGGAATTACATTCAAGACTTTGTGACAAACCTGTATCAATATTTTCCAGTGTTTCAGTTTTGCATTCAGATGCTGGACATGGCTTTTTTTCCAATATATCTTCTATTAACTTATTGGCCCTCTCCATTGTTTTCCTCAAATCATCTTCGGAAGCATCATACATGTTGCACAGTGATGCAAGCAAGTCGACACCTTTGTCACTTTTCTTAACTGAACAGTTACATGTCAAAAAATCAACAATGAGGAATGCCAATTTTATCTCCAACAGGAAAAGCAAATAGAAAACTGTAAAAGGGTAAGGACTAAACACCAGTGAAGAATACTGGCAAAACACATACACACACACACCAGCAAAGAAATCACAAATGCCTTCTCTATATAAAAAAGAAGGATATATCTAAAATTTCGACTGTCAAGAAATAGCAAATAATTACCAAAGCGTGGAGAGTCACTGATGTTGAAGTTTCTGAAGCGAATTGGAACATGTATAATCAGAATAGCCTGTTAAAAATCACATTAAATTCTAAGGAAACATTAACCTCTGAATTATTGCTACATGCTCTAGTAAATGTATAAGGAGAAAATGCATCAAAGACAATAGCATATTTGAGTTGAATCTTTTGAAACACATTTAAATTTAACTTTCAACCTTTATTTTCCATTTGTTTGATTAGTTTTTATTAATCCTTAAACTGCACTACTATAATCAGAACATGTTTCATTCGACGAACAAGATACATGTTATTCTTTAGTAAAACCAAGTCTGCCTTCCTACAATCAACTATTAAGAAAGCCAAAGAATAGTGTAACTGACCAGTATAGAAACAAAACCGTTTGCGCAAGTCACTAGGTCTTTAAAACGACTGAATGCATGCACACGGAGTGCCAAAAACAGTAACCACCCAAAACGATGGTACTCTGACACATAATCAGAAGCACGGGTAGGATTTTGCTTCTTGTCAATATTTGCATCACTTGTCAAGAAGAGTTCCCAAAATGCACGCTTGTATGACCTTTTGTACCAATAAATAGCAATGCAAATGTTATTTACTTTACAAAATGGAAAAATTATATAAAGTACACAGAAAATTTGGGTTGAGGATACAGTTGCTCGGTGAATGATAGTAAAAATTCATCAAATACACAGTACAAATTCTGTGCAATATATTATTAAAGTATAATTCTGCAGTGTGTCTAAATGACAATGTCATACATATATCACTATCCTAAATTTAATCTTATTATCCATTTGGACAAGATAACAGTCAAAACATGCCATAAACAGGCCGCATGACCAGCTACTGGTATAATTAGGATGAGTCTGTGGTGTGTGTCTGTGTGTGCATGTATGAATGTATTCTATGGTTATGGTTTTTAATTTTTCAACATCTTTGATATGCGTATCTTGTACAGTGCACCTCCCTCCCCAACCCCTGCACAGGTGATAAACACTTAATAAAAACACCAACATATAGGCCTGCTCTTGTAAATTTCAGACAAGGTTCCAGATAACATAAACAACCAAACTGCAGGCTGGCATAAGAAAAATGCACACTGCAGAATCTACATCCTTATGGAACATAAATTGATGAATGAGAAGCAATATGCCTTTTCGCTAGGGGTGCTTCATGCATTCAAAAGAAACCATCAAATTTAGTAAATCATAGTTATATTAAAAAAAAAGAGAAATGATAGTGGCATTACAAAGTTATATGCACAAGCATCAACTAACCTAGAACAGTATACAAAAGAAGGGCACCTACTTGCTTAGAAGGCTCAAGTGCATAAAATTGGCCTGCATCTCCTTTGCCTAATTGATTAAAGTAACATAAGCAGATAGTCAAATAGAAGTCACATGGCCAAACAATTTTTATTTTAGAAATAAAAAGCAAGTTAAACCATAAATCTATATTCTTCCACTACCTCCAGTCTACTCTCCCAATCTTCACCATACATGTTACTTAAACCAGCACCAGCTTTTACCACAATCTGAGGCAACTCTTTAAAGAAATCCACGATACTGCAAGACAAAAAAGCTCACTATCGTTAAACCAGGTATCAACACAAAAACTACAAGTATGTACACAAAATTAATAGAATCATACTTTAGCTTTGTAGCTCTCAATATCTGCCATAATGTAAACCCACTTTCACCAGACTCTTGTTGCACATTTTCTCCACGCTTTTCACTTAGCCGCTTCAGCGAATATAAAACAAATGAAAACAAAAATCGCTCTGCTTCTTCCAGCTAATCCAGAATAAATGCAACAAAGTTAGCTCATCTAAAAGCAACTATCTTTAGTAATTTCCATATAAAAAGAAGTTCAAAGATACCGTCCCGCTTCCAATTGCCAAAACATTTGACGATATAAGGTGTTTGGTTTCTTTGAAGAGCTTCATAGCTTCCGTGCAAGTTTTCTCATCCAAAGATAAATCATTCTATAAATCATAAAAATATAAAATTGAAAAAACACATCACCACACACCAAAAAAAAAAAAAAAAAAAGAAAGGAAGAAGCAAAATTTAAACTAATACTGCTACAAAGAATACATAACTACCTTACACAAAGCAGTGAATCTAGCTTCAATGGCATCGCCATCCGCGTTGCTTGAAGTTGTAACTGAAGGCTTCACGTCTTCCATATTTCTTCGAAATAGCCCTAGCGGCTGATCTAAAAATTATCAATTTTTTAAAATTGAAGATTCCAATTCCCTCGAAAAATTTAACAAGAAACTCATAATCAGCATATTCAAGATTAACCTATCTAACAGAGTCGCTGATTATGAAAAACAATCACAAGATTCACTTTAAAAATAAAAAGAAATCCACAAAAATGTCAGTAACTCAAACCCGCAGGCCAAAATAAAAATTTTACGCCAAAAATTTAAAATTTTAGCTATAACTATTAAAGGAAAGTAAAAGTTAGAAGAAAAAAAATCATTTTTTTGTTCTTCAGAAAAGGCGAATTAACTTTCAAGAAAGCCAGCCAAACAATTAAAATATTATAATAAAAATTAAAACAGAATTGAAAAGAAAACTTACAAAATTTGAGCTAGAAATTCGTTTCGGATCTCGGATCTACAGATTCAGTGAAGAAGAAAACCCTAGCTTCAAATCCTCCCTCCAAAACACAGCGTTTTAACGGATCGAGAAGAAGAAAAACCAGTAGAAAGAATAAAAAAAAAGAATTTTCTTTTCTTTTTATTTATGTTTTAGTTAAGAACAAGAAGAACCCTGAATTTTTCCTTCTCATTTTTCCTTATTTTTTTTCTCTTAACTGTGGGCCTCTTTTTGTGGAAATCCTATCAAGGAAGGATCTTTCTCTTTAGCGCGGGAAAACTAACCAACATGACATCATGATGGACATGCACATGAACATGGCATACATGGTTAGCCAATTAAATTTTGACAGGTCATAATGTTGGGATTGGCTTTTTACCGCCAAAATTGTTCAACGTCTCGCCGTGACGATTGACGAAGATTCCTGCTTTAGAAAGGTGGTGGCAATTTTCGCTGTTACAGTGAATTTTAACGGAGAGTTTGGGCCGAGACGTTCGGGTCCGGCGGATCGTCATTATCTTCGAGTCTTGGAAATTGGGACGGGGTGCCCAGCGGGCCAGGGTGACTCGTGTGGGTATGGGGGACCACTGAAAAGAGTTGGTTTTGTTTTTTTTTAAATGGTGTCGTTTAATTGTATAGAGTTGTGTCGTTTTGTGTGGAGTGAAATGTTATTACGAGTGCTTTAAATTTATTTTTTTAATTTATAAAATTTAAAATTAAAATTTTATTTAAAAAAATCAAATTTGTTATCACTCAAATCAGCTAGTTTTACCCATTTACATTTTATTTTTTACAAAAAGGAAAATTTTTTCTTGATTATAAATATGTATAATTTTTTCTGTTTAAATGTCTTAAATTTATTCTTTATATATTTTTTTAAAAAATACCTAGTTGTTTTATTTAATATTTGAATTATGTATGAAATCATAAATTTTATAATTTTTTTATATCTTATGAATATGAATTATTCATGTGGACATCCATATTTCTTATAAACATGCCTTTTATAATTATATGGCATAATGTAACATAGACATATGGTATAATTATTTATTATCATATATATATTTTAAATGCATTGATTGAACTATGTTTATTCTATAAAGCTATATGATGGGTATTTGATTTATAGAACAAATATAGTTCAATCTTAAACATAAAAAATTGTTCAACTTTATTTTTTTTTTGGCTAACACATTGTGAAACTTTAATACTTGGATTGAAATTTATTAAGATTCTAGAGAATTATTAAACACTAAATTAATCCTAAAAAACACTCCAAAGATATATGCTAATAAAACAAAAAGAATTGATCATTTACTGTAAACAAAGCCCTAGCATATAAAAATATTATAACTAAATTAATAAACATTAAAAGGTCATGTTTGGTTTTGAAGTTAAAAAGATTGTAAAAAAAACTCAATAGGTAAAAAATTTTTAATTTATAATAATTTAAAAATATACGATATTTTATCTTATTTTAACTTTGATAAGTTATAGAAGTTACATTATCAATTTTCAAAATATAAAAATTTATTTTTTTATTTCAATTTGAAATAAAAATAAAATTTTGCATTATCATATGTGTAATATAGAATATAGAGAAAGAGAGAGAGACAAATCACATGTATCGATGTTAGCACACATTATCCGATAATTTTGTATTTGTTAGATCATATTACATATGATTGTGATTAAATCAATAATTTATCTTAATATGAATGATTAATTACAATTTTTCAAATATAAAAATATGATACAAACTAAAATCCAAAATAAAGAAAAATACTACCAGATATTTATATATAAACATAAAAGTTATAGTAACCATGTCCATTTCAAGATCCACCAACAGTTGGAAGCAGAAACTCTCTCCACCATTTTTTGGTGGTTTAACTTTATAAAAACGAACTATCCAGTTCGGGACTGCTTACAATATTTACAAGCGGGTACACATTATAAATCTTGTCTAGATTTACCGCAGCAATGTTGAGTGAGAAGAGATCATTCCATGTTAAAACTTTGATAGCCTTCACAATTTCTGAACTAGTGCACGAAAAGATTCACCTGTTGAATCACTGGACAATAGATCCACTACAATGGCTGCCGTGGAAACATCCGCAGAAAATCCTTTCTTAACCATTTCATGAAGATTTCGTGTTGCCCTCAATATATCGTTGTTGCGAAGACATCGTTTGATCATGGTATTACAAGAGCAACTATTTTGCATGCAACCATCCACTTCCATTTTCCTAAACAATTCATTTGCTTCATTCAGCAGCCCTTCTTTACAAAGTCCTTTGATCATTGTAGTATACGAGTAAACATCATGGTGTACCCCTTTGATTGTGAGTGCATAAAATAATTTCCTACCAACTTTAAGTTGCCCAACTAGACACAAGCCATCAATTAAGATATTATAGTGGACAATATCAGGTTCTAACCCACTGCTCTGCATTGCACGAATAAATCCCAATGCCTCATGAACATGACCATGCTTGCATAAGCCATAAGCACACATTTCTTGTGCAACTGCAATTCTCCCAGTATGTGACATGCCACCTAAAAGAGTACCATAAGTAACAACATCAGGGATTAATCCATTTCGAGTCATTTCACAAAAAAGCTCCACTGCCTTGTCTATCCTTTTAGCCTTACAATATCCATTTATAATGATACTGTAACTAATTACACTAGGTTCGCAACCCTTGTAAGTTATTGAATTGAATACTTTTCTAGCTTCATCCATTTCACTTCGTAAACAATATCGATTCATCAATGAATTATATATAACTACATCAGGCTCAACACCTTGTTGAATTATTCTCTCAAGAATATCTTGAGCCTCTAAAACACTACCCTCTTTACAAAGTGCATTAACCATAATACCATATGTGATCACATTGGGTTTGCAATTGGTAGCCACCATTTCATTTTTTTTTTTATGAATTAGTGAATTGTAAGTCGTTCAAATTTTTTCATTAATCCCATCTAAAGATTTGAACTCACGACTTTCAAGATGAAGGTTCCGCCGGGGTGTATTCTCTGTGTTGTAGTGAATTGGAAAATCGTAATGCACTTTTTTTTTTTGGTAAAATCGAACCAATTAAACGGAATCTTATATAAATATATAAAAATTCAAGTCTTTAATATAAAAAAAAATTCTATGTAGATAGGTTAAATTTTTTACATGTGAAATATTATAGGTAAATGTCATGTGTTATATAATTAATAAATTTGATTATATAATTAATTTTAAAATAATTTATTATGACTAAATTAATTATGTTTAAATATCATTCTTGTCTCCTATAAATTAGTTATAATTAATTTGATTATTAATTCAAAAAATTAAAATTTAAATAGAAAGCTAATTAATCGTATATAAATATATAAAAACCAAAAATTTTAGCATAAAAGAAAATAATCCTACGTAGATAGGTTACATTTTTGACATGTGGAATGTTACAGATAAATGTCATGTGTTATATAATTAATGAATTTGATTATTTCCTATAACATTCCACATGTAAAAAATGTAACCTATCTACATAGGATTGTTTCCTTTTATGTTGAAGGTTTTGGTTTTTATATATTTATATAAGATGAATTTGATTATAAAATTAATTTTAAAATAATTTATTATGGCTAAGTTAATTATGTTTATGTATCAATATTCTTGCCTCCTATAAGTCAATTATAATTAATTTGATCATTAATTCATAAAATTTAAATTTAAATAGAAAGCTAATTAATCATGAATAATTTTACATGTTTACTAATTGTTACATATTAATTAGCTAAAAGAATATTGAATATTGAATAATTAACAATATTTTTTGAACGATAATTCAAAAAAATATTAAAGATTAAATTAGTTTGTAATTTTAATTTTGAAATTTGAATCCTTGATTATGATCTAAACACATGACATCATTTGACATTATTCATGCCTAAAAAATTATCCTACATACATAGACTTATTTCATTTTTCTTTTTTTTTTTTTGTTTTCAAGTTAATATATTGAACTTATCTTTTGTGTGTGTATATTAGATTGTTTTTGCAAATTAATATGTAACGATTAATAAATATGCAAAATTATTCATGATTAATTAGCTTTTTATTTAAATTTTGATTTTTTGAATTGATGATCAAATTAATTAGCTTTTTATGCAAAATTATCGTTCAAAAAATATTGTTAACTATTCAATGGCTTTAATTTTAGTTTTTTTTTTTTAATTTTAAGTATGAATATTTCTTTTTATTTGTTACAATAAAAGTCTTATTGGCCATGCATTCAATAGCTTTAATTTTGTTTTGAAGTCTTTAAAATTTTTTAATTACATTACCTTAATTTTGGATGTTTGATTTCAAAAATAGAAAGAATTGATAGATTAAATTATGTATTTAAAATTTAAACTCTATAATAATATGTAATTAAGGGAGATGGATTTTTCATAATAATATGTAATTAATCGATAGCTCAATTTTTAAGATTCACATTTATGAGTATGTGTAATACCCAAGCCCAATTTCATACCTTAATTAGTTGACCCAACCCATATGTTAAAAAAAAAAAAAGAAAACAGAAGAAAAACTTTGTCAATTTTCCTTCGATAGTTTCTCTGAAAGAAAAAAAAAAGGGAAAAACTTTAAGAAATGCTCGAGAAGAGGAAGAGAGGAAGAGATAGGGCAAATCAATCCTAAAAATCATTGATTAAGGTAATATTTTGCTTAAAACCTTTGGAATTTTCATATTTTATGCAATTTTCTACAAACTCCAACTTATATTTTTATATATTTTTCAACTTCAAAAATATTCCAATGACTTTCTAGTGATAATTTGGTGAAATTGTGGGTACCAATAGAAAGGTCTCTTCAAGTTCTTTTTAATGGTATGTGTAGCATTTCATTTAGTTAAGTAATTTATAAGAATTTAGTATTTTAAGTTTATGATTTTTGGGTTTCTCGTAATTATATACGCTCAATTTGAACCATTGGAACTCCCTACTCTGGTTGTCGATTTGGTTGAACATTAGGTAGTTTTGATAGTATGAAATGTGAACTTTCTAGTGATACAATTGGTTTGTTTAGATAATTTATAGGCTAAGAGAATCAAAGCCCCAAAATAGGTTTCATGAATCAGAAACCCAGAAAATCTGGGTTGTATGTGATAAATTACCAAGTTTTGACCTTCGAAACTTAGGCTTCTAGATATCAATTTTGTTTAAACAAAATTCTAAGTTTTAGTATTACATTCTTACATTAAATTCATGCTTTCCTTTATCACTAGGAACCATAGGATGTTTGGGATTTTGTGGTTCAAATTAAGCCAAATGATAACGAATGTGAAAACTTCAGAATTTAGAAATTATCATTTTTAATTATTTTAAAAATTATTTTCAGTCAATATTTGATATATTTAGTTATAAATTATTTAAATTTTAGTTATATTATTTTTAATGAATTTTTACTTATTTTAATATATTTTACTATGTTAATTTCATGTTATTAGTATTGCTATAGCGCTATTAAATTATATTCAAATTTACAAAAAAAAATACTATTAAATGTTAAAATTAAATATTTGTAAAAATTTAAATTGCTACTAATTTTTTATGCTTTAATCCTTAATTTCATATTTATACTCAATTCTAGGCATTTTGCTATATTAAAAGAAAATTTGTTTTACATGTTAAAAGAAAATATTTTCAAATAGTTTCGAATTGTCAAAAAAGTTGTCACACAAACTAATTTGCTTAGGATGACCCGCGGAATGTTGTCTTATTAAATTTATGTTTTAGGTTAAATTTTGATTTTTGAATATTTCTTCAATTATTAGGATATTAAGAGAATTGAGTGATTTGTTACTTAAGTTTTAGTTTAGCGAATTAGGTAAGTGACTTGATATCCTTTCAGTTTTTATGTCTCTAAAAATCAACCTCAATATTTAGAGTTGAATTATATAATATATATTATTTTATCCATTTGTTTTGTAAATCAGGTTGAGTATGCAAAATGTATATATGATTTTTTTTTGTTATGAGTTTGGAATATGGTTTGATATTGTTTTGATTTTTGAATATGATTTCGTAATAATATATATATCCATCATTTGTCGGAATATGAATTTTGCTTTGGAATGATTATGGAATTTACTTTGTATGGATTATGTTTTGAGAAAATTTATAAATATTGAATTTGCATGTGTTGAATAATCTAAAAATATATTTTAGTTTTTGTCTCCTAGTATAACTATGTTTTGATCCTGCCAATAGGGGTTAATTGTTGGCCATGTCATCATGTACTTTGTGATATCGATGCTAATTTCAAAGCATGCCACCTGTTGAGAATAGTGATTTTTGTTTACTGTGCCATCGATGATATACTTCTGTCCCATTACACGAAAGGGGTTACTGTGATTTTTGTTCTGTCCCATTGCACTAATGGTTAATTATGATTGTCAGTGCAACGATGTAGTTGTTTCTGATATATTTCTGTCTTATTGCACTAGAGGAAAAATTCTAATTCTGACTTATACCATAGAGGTTAAGTGTGGTCGTAATATATTACAAAAGACTAAATAAATTTATAATTTTGTGATATTTGATTATGTTTTGTGATATGAGAATCTGGTTTTGAGAATATGTTTATGAATATAGGATTACCCAAAATATTTTTGAATCATTTAGTTAATATTTTGGCTTAAATGTTTTATAGCATTCTTAATTTAACTAAAAGGATGTTGGTTACTTGCTGAGTCATCGTATTCATTTATTTAATTTTTTTTTTCTTTTTTAGATTTCGGTGTTTATGTCTTGAGAGACTTAATCTTGACAACTATTTAGATTAGCAAGATTAGTATCTGTATTTGGTTTGGTATTGCTTTCAAAGTGAGTATTTTATTATTATTCTAAAAGATTTGTTAGTAAGAACTTTAGTATATTTGACCAACTTACAAAGAATATAATTTTGTAGACTTGATAAATTGTAATGTATTATTTTGGAAATTATTAGAGATTTTGATATAGTTTGATATCTGTTGCCTTACATGCTTGTGAGATTCGTCTCACGAGTATGCAACATTGTTATGTTCCAAATCTTCGGGTTTGAGGTGTGACAGATTAGTGGTTTTAGAGCTTAGGTTTGTGATTCTAGAGATTTTAAGTTATTTTGTTCACTTAATATGAAAATATTAGTTTTGAAAATTTATACCAAAGAAAAAAATTTGGATTAGTTTGATAAAGTGTATTGGTGGTTGTAAATAAAATGATTTTGATGTTGATTTAGTGAAAAAAGATATCTTTAAACTCAACTATTATTGTAGAGATTGGTTTTGATTTGTCAAAATTTTATAAGTTTTAGACATATTAGATTTTTGATCCATGAAGATTTGATGTTTTGTGATTTTTGTTGATCTTAGAATTTCTAATCTGATTAATTTTTAAACATCAGTTTTGGAATTGTGACGAGGAGAAAGTTCAATGAAGTTGATTATGAGTAATGATAAGTTGTAAGTGATTTTTGCGTGAAGACTTGATGAGATAGTTACCTTAAGCTCAAGTTGATAGTGGATTTTTATCTTTGAAGATCCTATAGAATTAAGGTTAAAATTTTTTATTATGGTGGTTTGTTTTGTGTTTGCTTATGGGTTTTGATGAATCTTTAATCATGGCATTAATTGTACCATTTGGAGCCAAAGTATGAAACATTAGAAATACGATGAAGTGATATGCCTATAAATGAAGTGACTTTGGTAGAATCATTATATAAATCAGATATTTTAAGCTTAGGAGTTATTGTAGAGAATGATTTGAATATTTTAAGGTGTTATGGTATCGGAGTTAGATTTTCAATCAATTAAGATTTTAGAGTTTTGTGATGAATTTTTATTGATTTTTTTATTGTGGATACGAAATATTTTTGTT